GTGTAGGATATTAATCCATTTTGTTTCTCGAAATTACAATTTTTCTCCTAATTATTCCTATTGACAACACTTGTTAAAGAAAATTTTATTAATGAGAGTAGCTTTTCATACAAACGATTAAATGAAATATTTTAAATTACAGAAATATATATTTTTATAAATAACCAAGTTAATTAATTTTCGTTGTATCTAATACGTAAGGAATATTATATTTAACGCTGGATTTTTTTTTTGAAAAAAAGAAAGAGTCAACATAGGCTTAATATTATAATAATAAATCAGTATAGGTACCTCTTGCACCCTTAAGTATCTTTGTATCGCTGTCGAATGGGAACATTTAATTTTGGTCAAACAGCTTGACAACACTAAAGTTGCTAATTAATTGTCATCCCAGCTAAGGAAGAATCAGACATGAATTGCTACATCAATGTTTGTTCCCAAATTGCTCTTACTTGAATATATTTCACTTATATTTTTGGTGTGTGTGTGTGGCTGGCAATTAAGATCTGATTCAAAGTGACACCGATTTTTCTTTCTTTATTTCTTTTTTTCTTTAAAGAAAAAGAACGAAGAAGAAGAAAGAAAGAAAGAGGCCTTTTCATGACCAAGCTGGAATAAAAACTTGTAGTACAAGATATAAAAAAGGGGAAAACACAGAGACTTTAATTTGCCACTGATTAGCCAAAACAAGGAAAAAGAAAAGAAAAAAAGGTTTATTTGTACCAAAGGTGTCTCACGCAGTCATAATTATTCATATACTTTATTAACATCACAATGATGCTTCCATAGGTCTTTTTCTTTTATGCTTTTTCAAATTCCTTTTTAAGTATCTTCTTTTACATTATTAAACCATACCTTTTATAAAGAGAACTCATGAGATTTGAAATTCCCATATAATGTGTGTGTGACTCTCTCTCTACATATACACATATATATATATATATATAACCGTAACTTTGATGAAGATAAGTAAGATTTGAAATACTGTCTCACACACGCAACATTGAGTACAATTAGTGAGTTTTCAATCAAACTGTTCCACCACTCATAAATGGGTGGTAGTTAAATAACTAATTTGTAAAGATTAAGAAAATTAGTTAAGTTAGTTATTTGTAAGAAATGTGTGTTAGTTTCCAAGAAATATTTTGTTAATCATTTACATTAAAAAAATAGTGCCTCTGGAAATTAAACCATCTTAATAAATGCAATTAATAGAGATAATTTAGAGAACAAATTATAAATTTGGGAGACAAAATATATTGGAATACTACCCCTGATTCATATAAAATGTATAAGAACGAGATAACTAATTTGAAAATATTAAGAAAATCAGTTAAGTAGTTTATTTGTAACAAATATGTGTTGACTTTTTAAAATTATTTTCTTTAATTATATGCATTAGAACTATCCCTTAGCTCAACCCCTAACAATCAATGGGGATATTCTGGGAAAAAAATTATAAATTTGGAAAACAAAGTGGATTAAGGTCTTATATATTTAAGACCAAATTCAACCATCAACTAACTTTTACTGGAGGTAGCATTATACTATATCCCCGGTACTAAATATAAAAGATTGTCGGGTGTTAAATTTAGACCTAAATATAATATCTCAATCCATTTTATCTTCTAATGATATAATGTTTTATTTTCACAATATCTTTATTAATTGTAAAGGGCTTCTACAAAGGGTTAGTTCTAATATACATGATTAAATAAAGTAATTTAAAGAAGTCGATATACATTTGTCACAAATAAGCTAAGCAATTTGATTAATTTACTTAATCTCCTCAAATTAATTATTTAACTATTATATTAAGGACTGGAGGTAGTATTTGGTACTAAAACAAACCTTTTTACTAGCGCCAATATTTAATACTAAACGAGTAAATTAGAAAGATATCTACTACTTGTTTAAGTTTTTCACTTGTCATTACATCATGCCATGAACAAATATAGCTGATGAAGATTACCTTAGAAATAATGCACATGTTTGATAATGTTGCTTAAAACACTATCGTTTTGCTAAGTGTAATGAATGACACGACTCGATAATGACGGATCAAAATGGACAATGGAATGAGAGATGGGGGGTAGGTAATGAGCCTAAGATGCTTGAAGCTATGTTATAATACTCATTGTCTTTTCAATTTCAAATAATTAAAAGTCATGTGAATAGGTTTATATAAGAAGGGAAGGCCAACATATGCCTATCAATAAGATTTTAAATTAATAAAGTTGTAAACTTTTTCATGATTAGTCACTTCTCATGTAAACGATTCTTCAGCTTTAAGCTTATTCTATAGAGATGCTTAATAATTGATTACAATAAGCTCTTCCCATTGGTCCATCTTTGTTATATAGGACAAAATTTATACCAAAGTCTAGTCTTGTTTATTGAACAAAATTCTTCCGTTTAAATAAATTATGGCATCTCAAGAAGTTTTATCTTTTTAAGTCAAGAATGTGATGCACCGTTTAATTATAAAAATATTCACATACTATGATTTTGGAAAAATTAATCTATCGGTTTCTATCGTTTTATCTGGTTTTTAATCAGGTTTTTGTAATTTTTTTCCTTTTCATCAGTCACTTGAAATTATAGGGACTTGATTATAAATCAGGTCAAATTATAAAAACTTGATGAAAAGAAAAATAAACTATCGGGATATATTATGCTTATTCTTTTAATATATGATGCCTTTTTGCGCATGCGTCTTCATTTAGAATATCTCGTTATATATATCTGCAGGGTTTAGATATACTGATTTTCTTTCATTTTCACAAGTTGAAATTAATTAAAATAGCCCTTTCTCGTGAAACAAGTTATTCCCTAGAAAGATATGTGAATCTATGCAAATCTTTTGATTATTGAAGTTTCATATCTCTACTGATCACGAAGAAACATTATCATTTTTACTTTTTTATATCCCTACAATTTCAAATCACCTTTGCCATAATATTCAAATTCTGGTTACGCAGACAAATATAACGCATAGAATACGGGAAAATAAGACATGAAATGGGCTGTATAGATTTCTTAGTTATCTCATTTTCTCAAAACTTTTTATCCACAAACTTTTATCCCAATAACTTTCTAACGGAGCAGTTTAATTATTAACGAGGTCAGGGAAAAAAACCTTGATGGCATTCATAATGATATATTGTTATGGTTCCTTCCAATTAATTTATCTGATTCACTGTGCAAAATTGAAATATCATTAACCAATGAGACAAACATATATTGTACAGTGTTTCATCTTTCAATAAAATAACACTTTCACATTTATTTCTGTAATTTTTAAGTTCCAAAATCAGTTTTTCAGTTTTATATATAATCTAGTAATCATCAACTGGTAATATAATATATTTATGTCAATTCATTCTATCTTGTTAATCTCAAATATTACCTTTAGTCTTTAATATAAGAGTTAGATGACTAATTTGTAGATATTAAGAAAATTAGCTAAGTTAGTTATTTATAATAAATAAATATTGTCTTTCCTGAAATATCTTTGTTAATTATGTGTATTATAATTACTTCTTGATAGAAACTCCATAATATATGTAATTACCATAAAGATTACTTGGGATAAAATGGATAAATATAAAAGATAAAATATATTGAGATATTATATTTAGGTAAATTTTCAATCAATTCTTACATTAAGGATGAAAGGTCGTAAGATTTAAGCAATTTTACATTTAAAAAAGTTTCGATTCACTTGTGTCATAATGCTGAAAATTAAGGAAGATATCACTTAGCTAAAAAAGAAACTAAGAAGGCAGTGAGCACAGCTTGTCATGAGTGTTTGAGGAGTTTTATAAGAAGTTAGGGATAAAATCTCGTGAATGAAAGATTTACAAGGTTGCAAATATGAAGACAAAATCATGAGAATTGGATCAAGTAAGATGAATATAAATTAAAGGATGAATAAAGCAAAGTTTTGGTTACTAATAGGGATATTATTATTAAGACAGATGTGAGGCATGCTTTTTTAAAGTTATTCAATAATGGAAGAGGAGGTTCGACTTGAGAATTGGAGGATTTGACAAAGAGAAGGTGGGCACAATTTGTTGTTTTCTTGGAGGATTTGCGTTTCGATGTCAAGGAAGCTCTTAAAAATAAAAATAAAAAAGTAGTAAAGTTGTTGGACCTAATAATATTCGTATTAAAATTTAGAAATATTTAGGCGAAGAGAGTGTAGAGGATCGAACTCACAACTTCTTGATTAAGTCATGATTTAAAGAGGTGTTTGATGTCAATTGATAAGTCTCACAAAGAAAAAGAAACCTCTAAGAGCAAAGATACATAACTTTAAAAATTCTAGTCTGAATAATCCTCAATCCTCAACAATTTTCATGCCATTTGTATGTCATTTAGATGTTAATTTGATATTAACAATTAATAGTGCGTGTGGGTGTGTGTTGGCCTTAATTGTTCGTGACAAGGACCCTATGTTATTCTGTTGGAGAATTCATAGGCTTTAGCGTAAAGACCAATATTATTCTCAAGTACATGTAAATGAAAGGAAGGGACAATGATTAAGGCATATCCCAGTGAATTTAATTATAATGAGGAAAAATTATTTTAAATTCTCGAAAATGTCTCGCCACCATAACCCAAAAAAAAAATAATAATAATTCAAATGCTTCGAAATGAATAGTCCATGATTTTTTTTTACCAAAGAATAGTTAATGATGTAAAGTGATCCACGCGTGCCCTCGCGCACAAGCCTTCTATTTGTCAAGAAGAAAGCAAAAGAGAGCCACTCCCACTAACCCTTCCAGTAAATAAGCTAATCAAATAGAAACAAAAGAAAAATTAATTAAACTTAATATAATCAATTATTAATTAAGCCCTACTTGCCCACTTCCTTTTTTCAATGGCAGTTTTTAGTATCCGATTAAAAGTAAATATCTCAACATATTTATTGAATTAAATTTCGCTTGTAGAACTGTAGATATAGTAAAAGTGGGACTCCAAACTCTTCAAAAAAATTATTTTTTCGAGCAAAAAAGCTCTAAACTTAATTAACGGTGCAAAAATACATTAGATATGATAATAATGTTGTATAATAAACAGGAACAAAAGCCATATACTAGCCTCTTCTGCTAAATTCAGCTATATGATTACACATAAAATCTCTCTAGCTAACAAAACACTTGAACCCACAAAAAAAGAAAATCAAAATGTCTAATACATAATAATCTAACAAATAATGTGAAATCCAGCTGAATTTAAACTTGTTCCTGCCCCTTAAAATAAATTATACTAATTAACACCAAATATAATACCCTGTGTTATTCATAAAGCACCTAGCTAGCTGAGCTAATACATAAAAGATTTATATAATTAATCATTTGGTAGTCCCTACATCATTCTCATATACGCGCTTGTACCTGGCCCAGCATTGAAGGGTCACTTCCTTTTCTTTCCTTTCCTCGCTGCTTTTCCTTTTGTTCTCTTCAGCTTTTTTCTCTTCAGTCTCCTTCCAAGTCTTTGGCCATTTACTTTTCCTCATTTCTTTTCTTTTGTTTTTGTTCCCAAACTCTAATTAATTAACCAGAGAGATAAATATATATATATATATAAGGGGTAATTTTATGAAAATATGACTAATTGGGGTGTGAGTATTTGGACTATTGAATTCACTGAATTCATGATTATTATATATAATCAGTTGTGGGAATTTAATAGTGAAAATACTCAACCTGCTCAGGAAAATAATGATAATGATAATAATAATAACTAAGTCTCTCTTCATAAAATTACCCTCTTTTTTTCTTGGGGGTTTAATTAATTAGTTGTTTTATCTGATGAGTGTCCCTCCAAATGACGGCGTCCAGAAATCCACAGGTGTTTCGTTTGTCACTGGGAATGTGCTTGAAATAGGAACCAAACACAGCCCTCGGCTTTTCAAGTCTTGTTTTGGCCCTTCCGATGACTCCTTCACTTCACAACCCTACAATAATCACAAGTAATAATAATTATTATTATTATTATTTCCCAACCAATAAATAATATTGCCGAAATTAATACGTAACTCTTCTGAACTTTATGTCATGCATAAACTTTTTTAAGCTTTGAAACTTTACAATAAATCCTCCTAAACCCTTAAATTTATGTACATAACTAATCCTCTAACTACTGGTAATTTTGGCCATCACTTGTCCACAGACAAATATATATTGAAGCTTGGGAGGTTTATACATATGCACATAATTCAGAGCTTGGTAGATTATGCATTCGCAAAAATATAATTTAAGGGAGTATATAATTGATGTTTAGGATTCGTCCACAGAAAATTGAATGTATAGACCATGGGTTTGCTATAAAGTTTCACACATTAAGAGAATTATTTTATATAGTTCAAACACAATTTATGGTTAAAAACAGAGTTCAGGGCAATTTGTTTTGCGTAATTTAGCCTATAATATAAAATTTAGCATATAACATTGTATGCACTATTCAGGAGATTATGGGGAAAAAAGAAGGGGAAAGTGTGCATGACATTTTATCCCGGATTGTGCTTCTTTAGAATAAAGAAATACCACATGAAATTTAATAGAGAAAGTGAGAGAAAATAATAGAATTAATTATGATTGGAGTTTGATTTTTCCATTTCTCTGTTTAATTTTTGTTAAATCCACTCTTTATTCTCTCTCTATCTCTTTAAATACATATACTGTGCATTCAATAATAGAATGCACAAGATTCAGACTTTAGAAACTTGTTTTTGATATCTGTACAAAAATACAATTTTTGATAGGGACTTGTAAAGAGACTTTAATCAGTATATCGATGTATCATTTGCCAAAAAGAAAAAAGAAGATAATATCAATATTTCAATATGTCAAAACTATATATAATGACATTCATATCATCAAACAATATTTAGGCTCAAGGCGTGAGCAAATCATAATGAATAATGTGTCTAGTTATATTTCAGACTCTCTAAATTCCTTCGGAAAACGTCTATGTAACTTTTTGGGGGGTGGGGACCATTACGTTAACCTCTTCAATAATTTTTTCAACTTATTTTGAACTTAAGGAACAACATGCCAGGAAAGTTTCACCATTCCGACAAAAATTATCACTGAAAATCTTAACTTTTCAGAAGTTATGAGAAAGTAGAGGGCGGAAGTACCTGCTGGCAGTGTTGGATGGGAACTCCATTTTTCATGTAAGGAGTGCTCAAAACCTGGGATTGGCATTTAGAAGAAAAAGCTCAACTTGTTAGATAAGTAAATTACTTGTTCATGAATAATTATTTAAACTGTATGGCTTTATCAATAATTAGGGTTTGAAAGTAAGGAAAAAAGGAGAGAGCAAAATTATCATTAGAATAATGAAACATACACTGACTTGTTCATGCAGGAACTTGATGTAGTCGATGGCTTCGTGAAGAACAGATGCAGTGTCAGTCTATGAAAATACACACAAAAAGTGGGTTAGTTTATTTCTTTCTTTCTTTAAATCTAATCTTCAAAGTTTCAACATTTAAGTAAAGCAAAGGTTGTTAATTTAACTCTTCACAATACCACAAATAGTAAAAAGTGAATCAAAGAGAGACACTTCGAGAAACAAAATTCACCTTTCCGAAAGGCGACACCAATTGCTGAAGAGCAGTGATTCGGTCCCCTAGCTTCTCTTTCCGAACCTAATCATCCATAAACACACCTAACTAGATTAAAAATCCAAGCAAAATTATATTATGAAGATTGAACAAATCAAAATTAAAACCCCTTAACTTTTTGTAACCAACACAAGTTCATAAGAGAATCACACTCGAAAAGCTAACTATTAGAGTTGGAGAGCCCAAAACCCTATAAGATTGTTTTTCTCAAGGTAAATCCCAATGTAGGACTCCTGACTTTTTTTTTTCTATATTAAATCAAAATATATTTGACATTCAAAAGTTAGATTGGATTCCAACTAATCCTAGTTAAGATGGAAATATAGGGCCACAATAACAGGAAAACTATCCGAATGAGTTTTAAACACAATTGCATACTAAGGATTCAAATAAGCTATAATACAACCTCTTACTAGTCAAGCTATGTATTTGTTAGTGAACTTTTACACTAATGTACCTTGAAAGTTGGTAATGGCGATGGGGTTTCAATCCTTTGCTTCTTGATTGCAGGTTCACACGAACCTTTCTTTGCCGACTCCGAAACTTCTTCTCTCTTGGGCTGTACTCAAACCAGTCAGGAACCAATATAATAAGAAAAACCATCATAAGATTATATAGAGAGTTACATATAAATACAGATAATATATATACCTTGGGTACGAGAGAGCTTGTGAAATTGGGTTTCTCAGTAATTAAAGGAGCAAAAACATGGGGTGTTGTTTCAGCAGAAGCATTCCAGAAAGGAGTACAGTTAGAAAAGTGCAAGCCACCACCACTAGACTTCAAGAAGGGATTGTTATTATTAGAGGGTCTGGACCAAGAAGAAGAAGAAGAAGAAGACGAAGTAGTAGTAGTAGTAGTTGGTGAAGGCATGAATTGATCAGTGGAATTAGATATTGCGCCATAATTATTTGATGTACTTGAAGAATAGGCCATGGAAGATGATTGTGGTATAGGAGGGTTGGTGAAAAGTGACTGTGCTGCTTGAGGAATATCATACAAACTTTGAATCAACGTCGAACTTGAAGAAACTGGAACTGACCCAACTGAGAAATTACCACCACCACATAAATCTTGATTCTTCATCGACATCTCTCTCTTCTGATCTTGGCTTTGTGATACAGAATTGCCGCTGAAAATTCAAAAATATAAAGGATCTAAATATACATATATAGATATGATTAAGCTGAGATCTTTTATCTGATAATTAAGAAAAAGAAAGAGAGGGGAAAGAAAGAAAGAGAGAAAGAGAGAAACTTTTTGAAGCTTGGGACCAGAGACCAGACATGAAGAACAAACTTACAAGAGAGAATGATTCCAACCCATGATCATTTCCAAAGAAGAGGAATCCATCAAGATAGAACCATTATTATGATGATTGTCTGCAATATCAGGTTCTGCAGTCTGATGATGATGATGATGATGATGATTCTGAAGCAGTGGCTTCGTCGTCGTGGTTGCATCGAGAAACCCCAGAGAGGTGGCCGGCGCCGTCGCCTCCGCGGTGTCTGGGGCCTTCAAGTCCACCGTATCCGTCTGCCATGTGCTGTAGCCAATCATACCTCCGCCTCCTCCAGAAAGATCGTGGTTAGCTGTGAGCACAGAACACGGAGATGAACTCAGCATCGAAGGGAAAACACTTCGCGTTGTTGAGTTCATCATCATGTTGTTATTGATCCACCAGTAATTATTCCCACCACAAATCCCAGCTTGAAATTCCTCACCCATCTCTGATTATAGTTTCTCGCTCTGTATATTAGAACTCTCTGTTTAATCTTCTGATGAGGTTTAATTCTTCTGACCTGTGTGTGTTTTTGTTTGAGGGCTTATAAATGGGTTTGTGTGAGAGACATTTTATATATGAAACGGTTCAAAAGGGTACGGACGATAGAGGAGATTACCAGAATCGGATTGACATTGCAAGGGAGATGATTGGACAAACGAGGGGGAGAGAGAGTGAGAGAGAAGAATTTTGAATCCTATTCTAATTCTCTCACTATTTTATTTTATTTTGATTATTTTTTCCCTCGGGATTTGTCTTGCTTTTGAGAAATTATATAATAAGATTGGGAGAATTATTATCCATGTCTTGTGGGAAATTTGTGTTGTTCCTTATGTATAAAGGAATAGGGAGGGTATGATGATGTTAGATGAGGATGATGGTGATAGTGGTGGGGTTTCATCTTAAGGCCATCAATCACCAGATATGTATTAAAATTAACAGATGAAGTTTTCTTATTTTTAATTCAAAAGGGGAAATAATTATAATAGAAAAAATTAAACTATACTCAAAAAATAGTTCTCTGCTTTTTATTTCAGCAAAAGAAAATTTATTGTTATTTTTTGAAAAAATTCTTCAAAAGTTTTTGTTTGAGAAGCATTTTCACATTAAAAAAAAACTTGAATTTAGCAGGTACAACTCATTTTTAGTGAATAAATAAGTCTATTTTAACTGTATCTGTACAACATATTTTTACCATGTGGAAATGTCTTGCTTGCGTTTTTCACAAGTTGAAGATAGGTTACACCTGGCTGAAGATGAGTTGCACATAGGTCTATAAACAAATTTAAAGGAATTGCATATATTTCAATGGGTGATTTTTTTTTCCCCAGCAATTTTTCTAATTTTTTGTAAAAAAAAAAAACCTAGATTGTGGTCCATGCAGCCTGCGTTAATTCGCATTGTCCTTAACATTTGCTCTTTAGCTTTTAAGAGATACAGAAATTATGATTATTTAGTTTTTAAATATTATAAATATGACAAAAAGAATTTAGTTTTTATCTCCAATAGCATAATTAAATTGGATCATTTGAAGACCAGTTTAAATGAAAAGAATTGGAACCCCAAAAAAAAAAACTTAGAATTAGGTTGAAATACCCCTACTATTAAATTGTCTTCCAAATCAACATAAAACCATCAAATTCCTCCGTCATTAGATATAAGTCCTAATTTTATCACTCTCCTTTTATTCCCAAATAAAACTCACAATATAAATTTATAGATATAATTAATATTTGTCTCCAAACATACCTTTTTAGAAATAACTGATACTCTTGTTTCTAAATAGTCAAGGTTTAAAATATTATGAATTAAATAAAGGGTGAAAATAAAAAGGAAAAACTATTTTTTTATAGGCATAGTTATCCTCTTGTTGGAGACAGCTTGGTTTGAGGCACTGTTGAGTATTAAATATAAGTCTTGCTATATGAGTATTTTTGTATATTGTCTTTTCTTTTGCCAGAATTTTATATACTGTTTGGAGGTATTTAATTGTGGTGATGAAAATATATGAAGTCTAATGAAGAAGAATAATTAAATGACATACAAATGCAACTAAATCCTTGTGCAATTTTTTCATGAAGTATATGGATAATTGACATTATTTTATAATGAGAGTGTACGCTTTGTAAATATTAAAATAATGGAGTTGAAATAACTCACCCAGGAATTATTCGAATAAAATGTTCAGTTGTTAGTGTGTGTGTGTGTTTGTGTGTGTCATGATTTCTTAAAGAGAATTTACAATTATTTTTCTTTTTTGACGCGCGCGTTAGATAGAAATTTATATAAACCTTCAAACTATCAATTAGTTTGTTGGTCGAGAATTATTATAATGCAAAAGAATTTTACCCTTTGCTAAAGATGAAAGGTCCATTCAAGTGGTCCAAGTTGATCATTACATTGTGTGTTTTATATATATAATTTATATGTATCTGTATGTATATATGTGTAATATTATATATACACTCTATGCGTAGCAGGTAATGAAGCAGAGTTGTATCAATTTTTCCAAAGGCCACGCTGGATGCCAAAGCGCAGGATGGAGGCGCGTGATAGACACGTGAGTTGGAGAAACTAAAACGCTAACTAATGCTTGACCTAACACAACTGTAGCATAGATCAAGATTAGATTTCATGTCAACCTCTGGTCAAAGGCCTTATTATCCTCTTGATTTATTTAAATTTTCTTCAGACAGTTAAAATGTTCACGTCCTAATAACTAATATTAATTTAATAATTCAACTATGTCTTTTTAGTTGAAATGGTAACTTCTTTAAAATAAGGAGAAATTAATGCTCAAAAATGCTCCTAAACCGAGCCTGTAAATCCCAAGAAAGAACACTAAAATAGTCTAATCATTATAAAGTGATGAGAAACTAATTTTGGGATTAAATTTTTTGGAGAAATTATTTAAATACTCTTAGTTTGAAATCTAAAAATCAAAACCATAATAACAATGGTATACAAACCTAGACCGAACTAGTCAATTCAGCCCAGAAACCTACGAACTAGCTAGGTAACTAGTCCAGTTGAGCAAGTAGACTGTAGTGAAATTGATCGAGGTGACCCAATATAAATTGAACGACCTAGTTAACCTGGTTGCTTTTTTTTCCCCAAAAAAAAACTATTTTAAGCCAAAACTTTTTTCTTTCTTAAGCTATTTATAACTATTAGTTTAGTGATTAATGGATTGTAGATAGCAATATTTTATTATCATATATCTATTTTGATATTTTGCTAGGATTAGTGCACAGTGAGTTTTTTAATATGATACTATAATATCAATTTGTCAAAGGAATTATAAAGAAGCTTGGAAAAAAATTGTAAGTATATGATTTTTTTTTTTGTAATTCAAGGTATTAAATTAATATTTAGTCTTTAGATGGAATGATAAAATTTAAATTTTTTTTAAATTTTTTTATTTTCCACTAGTTTGACCCCATATTGATTCCGACTTGACCTACTGACCCTTGATCCGCTATCTTAACTAGTTTTGTTTTCAATACCTTGACAATAACAGTTTAACAAATAATAACTTTGAATTATCAAATGATGATACTAATAATAAAGATAAGTGACAACTAATTTCATAAAAATGTTTGCTTATGCATTGACAAGTGTTAGTAGGTTGTGAATTTTAATAACATAGTTTAATAAGGGCAACAACTTTAGATGGCAAAAAACGGGTAACAATTTTAACTTATTAAATAATAATAATAATAATTAAGGTAGTAAAAACTAATTTCACTGAAATTTCAGCTTCTACGTTGATAAGTGCCTGTAGGTAATATCACGAACAGCACAACTATCTAAGACGTAATAACTTTAATTTCAAATAACAAGAAAAATAAACATAATAACAATTAATCTTATCAAAATTTCAGCTTCTGCATTGACATTAAACGAAATGTGTATCCCGTTGAATGTGGACATACACATCCACCGCACCTATTAATTTTTTAATAAAATATTTTTAAAATTCTTTTTGTAAACCATTACCTTATTGGTGTTTTATTCCCAAAGGAACAGGATATATACACTTATTCCCCCGGGGGGGGGGATGTCAAATACTTCGCAATTTACATTGATTGGGTTGTTGGCAATGTGGACTTTTTAAGTTTTGGAAATACTAAATCATATGAGAAATACAAAAGTTGTGCATGATTACAACGTATAACAAATGGTACTAAAATTTGAGTCAACAACAAAATTCCAAGTTTATTATTATAACTTGCACGATAGGGTGAGGGCTATGACCAGTATTAGTTTATTGATGGATTATATACAAAAATAAGCTGATGGCTGGTTCATTTCAAAGTATACTCCACCAAGTTTATTTATAATTAATTATGTCCATATTTTCTATGAAGTTTAATTTCCTTGAAATTTCAAAGACGACACTGAAACTTGCATCCGACCTAACTTGGTTTAATTGGATCCAAGTCAACTCGTTTTATTTATTTATTTATTTCCATTTTGCCTTTTCTTTATGTCTTTGTCAATCACATTTTCAATTTTGTAATCTTTTTATTGTTTGATGGTTATGCATGAATCTAATTGTATTTGACTTAGGAGTAAGTATTTGAAGAAGATAACTACAAAATACAATATTATTATATAAGTCCTCATATATTGCTCTTTTTTATTGGAAAACTTACAAAATTATATGGGTGAGTGTATATATTTTTCTGATTTAGTTTTCAACTTAAAATTTTGTTATTAATTAACAACTCTAGATAATTAGAATCATGCACATTACTATAGAAAAACACCATTTAATGTGATTATTTACGCAAGCCTTTTCAATCAATTTTCTCCCATTCAATTTCTTAATCTATCAACAAAGTATAACTAATTGGTTTTTAAAACCAATATAACAATATTATATTGTAACCCTTTTTAGTGTTGATAATCATTACGACGTTAATTAATTACTTGTAATTTACTACTAGTACTATGAAGTGTTTCATTGTTTGTTTCTAGCTACTCGATATCAAAACCTTCATCAGATTCTTCATACTATCATCGTATAATAATGTGTGTGTGTGTGTGTGTTCATTTCTTAAATATTTGTTAAGGAAGTATTGTGATTATGTCAAGTCATTGACAAATATTTGTTTATATTAGTTCAACAAAGCCATCATTTTGGGGCCTAAAAATCCATACTGACCCAATTAGGTGATTGACTTATTAAGGGTACAACCAAATTGTTTAGTACATTGTTTTTAGACCTTAGTCAAAACGATGACATGCTTCTATATCACAATTTAATCTGAAAAAAGATTGAACAAATTAAGCTTCAATTAATTGCCAAATATTAGGGTTGACATTTTGAAGAATTTGATTAGGTAAATGGGGTTTCCATTCTTTTCCCTTAAAAAGTATCATAAGATAATTTATTAATATAGGAGTTGACTTTTGATTAAATCTCATATATATAGCATATGTGTATATAGCCCAACTTTTGAAGACCAGAAAAAATGCAATAACTTAAAATTTAAAACTCTCTTCATAAATTAAATTTAATGTGAAATAATATATACATTAAAATTTTGAATGAATTTTTTATATAATTAAGTTGACTCCAAAGTCGTGATATAAAAAAAAATTATATTTGACAATACACTG